TCAGTGGTCTGATAACTGTGTGACTGGTCAGTGTTCTGATAAATGTGTGACTGGTCAGTGGTCTGATAAATGTATGACTGGTCAGTTGTCTGATAACTCTGTGACTGGTCAGTGGTCTCATATCTGTGTGACTAGTCAGTTGTCTGATAAATGTGTGACTGGTCAGTGGTCTAATAATTGTGTGACTGGTCAGTTGTCTGATAACTCTGTGACTGGTCAGTGGTCTGATAACTGTGTGACTGGTCAGTGGTCTGATAATTGTGTGACTGGTCAGTGGTCTGATAAATGTGTGACTGGTCTGGTTTGATAACTGTGTGACTGGTCAGTGGTCTGATAATTGTGTGACTGGTCAGTGTTCTGATAACTGTGTGACTGGTCAGTGGTCTGATAACTGTGTGATTGGTCAGTAGTCTGATAAATGTGTGACTGGTCTGGTTTGATTATTGTGTGACTGGTCAGTGTTCTGATAACTGTGTGACTGGTCAGTGGTCTGATAATTGTGTGACTGGTCAGTGGTCTGACAAATGTGTGACTGGTCTGGTTTGATAACTGTGTGACTGGTAAGTGTTCTGATGACTGTGTGACTGGTCAGTGGTCTGATAAATGTATGACTGGTCAGTGGTCTGATAGATGTGTGACTGGTCTGTGGTCTGATAACTGTGTGACTGGTTTGTGGTCTGATAACTGTGTGACTGGTCAGTGGTCTGATAACTGTGACTGGTAAGTGTTCTGATAACTGTGTGACTGGTCAGTGGTCTGATAGATGTGTGACTGGTCAGTTGTCTGATAACTCTGTGACTGGTCAGTGGTCTGATATCTGTTTGACTGGTCAGTGTTCTGATGAATGTGTGACTGGTCAGTGGTCTGATAAATGTGTGACTGGTCAGTGGTCTGATAAATGTGTGACTGGTCAGTGGTCTGATAAATATGTGACTGGTCAGTGGTCTGATAACTGTTGGACTGGTCAGTGTTCTGATAACTGTGTGACTGGTCAGTGGTCTGATAACTGTGTGACTGGTCAGTGGTCTGATAATTGTGTGACTGGTCAGCGGTCTGATAAATGTGTGCCTGGTCAGTGGTCTGATAAATGTGTGACTGGTCAGTGGTCTGATAAATGTGTGACTGGTCTGTGGTCTGATAAATGTGTGACTGGTCAGTGTTCTGATGACTGTGTGACTGGTCAGTGGTCTGATAACTGTGTGACTGGTCTGTGGTCTGATAACTGTGTGACTGGTTTGTGGTCTGATTACTGTGTGACTGGTCAGTGGTCTGATAACTGTGACTGGTAAGTGTTCTGATAACTGTGTGACTGGTCTGTGGTCTGATAAATGTATGACTGGTCAGTGGTCTGATAAATGTGTGACTGGTCTGTGGTCTGATAACTGTGTGACTGGTCAGTGGTCTGATAACTGTGTGACTGGTCAGTGGTCTGATAACTGTGTGACTGGTCAGTGTTCTGATAACTGTGTGACTGGTCAGTTGTCTGATAACTGTGTGACTGGTCAGTGGTCTGATAAATGTGTGACTGGTAATTTCTGGAATTATGATATTGGTAATGACGCATTTAAATCTTGTCGTTGGATTTTTTTATTTGATTTATTGGCCGATATCAGATAAACTCCCATTAAAAAAAGGATTTTCCTTGCCCTATACGCTACCAAACCCCAATCGAAATTGAACGAACCTCATAATTTTTGTATGCGAGCTTCCTTAACACAGGAATTCACGAGTGTACTTTGCGAAAATCTTATACAAACACAAAATTGTGAAATCATGAAATAGTATCTTATACAGGCTATCTTGACTGAGTTTGATGATAAGACCTTCCAACTGCCTATTGACATACTTATGTGAACAATTTGTACCCCATTCATGCTATTTTAAATTTGCTCATAGAGACAACAAACAAAGTCCTTCAACTTTACGTCTATAACTCATATTGACAACGTCTTGTCTTGAATTAGCCAGAGATTTATCAAATATGATCATGTGTAATTTATATATTGAACAGAATTAGAAATCAAGGGCACGACAGAGTTCTACATCAGTCACGTACCTCGATATTTCCCAATAGGAATATTTTCCTAGCTTTACAAACATGAAGATTTCGTTCTTACTATTTTGACTTTTCCATCTCTGGATATATATAGCAACTTCCCAACGTCTCAATTCTCTAATTCATTTTTCAAGAGTCTTTTATACATCTTTTATTTCATTTCTATTCATCAGTAGTAATATCAAACACATAATTGAAAATGGATATGGAAATAAGTTTTACAATTTATAAAGATCTTCAATGGATCTCAATATTCATGAATTCCGTGAGAGATGTCGACAGCTGACAAATCACCTTACAACACGGGGCTTCGAGAGATGCAGATCGATAAAGGTTATGGGGAAGTTTTCTGGTCGTCATTATGTTCTAGACTGGAAATATAGTATTATATCCTTGTGCAATGTGAAGTTGGACGTGTTGGAGGCTGGTTAGTATCCCTGGTGGTTCCGTTGTCGTGATATAACTTTATTGTGTTGACCGAAAGTTGTAATCGCCGAATACGATCGCTGCCAAAACATATGGTCTTATTCTACTTGTACTTTTTAGGGGAAATCTTGTAAAGTTGTTCTTGTTCGAATTTCCATCGTTTGAGTTTTAAATAAGATTATTTTGGTAATGCATTCTTTCTAAAAGAATGTACCATCTTTATCTTTTGGTCTTTGAATGTTCAATGATACGTCCTTGAGAGGTCGTAAAGGCGACTAAACTTGGGGTCGCTGTTTACCTTTTCTGTCTCTATTTATTTTTTCTATCCCTATATACACATACATATGTATCTTTTCAATCCTTTGTGTGGTAGAAGTTTCATGCTACAGTATCTTTGTTGTGATATTACAGTATGATTACACTATAAATTTCTGTCCATGGCCCAATCATTTGTGAACACGTTTTTAAATGACCCATGCTGTTGTGTTGTAAACAAATAAACGAATCTAAGATAACGCTTCTTTCAATAGTAAGTGAATTTCATCATAATTTATTTTTAGGGGGTGGTATGCAATCCATTTTTAAAACGACAGAATTAATGATGTAATCTCCATTTTTTCCCACACTTTCCAGTTTTATACTACAATTTCTTCGCTCTAACGACAAAATGAAATGGGCTTTTATTTTTCATGATTTTTCATCAATCTGTTACATCAGGATAATTATGATTATATCAGCAAATTACACAAAACACGTACCATACAAACAGACGGTAACTATATTTCAAGACCCTTCTTATCACTGACAAATCCTAGAAGAACGACACAGCTGTACAATGCAGATTAATCCATTATTTGGCACTACCGTGTGATCTTTTGTAAATGCACTTGTGTGTCGTTTGTGCTAGAGAGATCTGATATCTGTTAAGTCATTTAAGTATAAATACTAGTTTTATGTCTGAATTTTAGTGAGTGTAACTCTCAACATGACGTCATTAGGAACCGTGGTGAACATGTTCGGTGTTAGTCTGAACTTTTTGTCGTCAGCTATCTTTTTTCCGGCATGACCAACAATGATTTGGTATTTTTGTCGCTCACTAACCCGCTCATTGCTTTCGTTTTTGAGTTGATCTAGACAGTAACGATCTTCTAGCGAAAAATTATTTTGATGAATCGGAGCGTCCTTATCATCAACTATCGTTTGTTTTCGTAAACTACAGCAAGTTGGTTGCGCATGTCCGTATTTTAATTAGATCAATCTTCGTAGTTCGAGTTGAATTGAGAATTTCCTATATTTTTGTAACGAAGATTTGGATTTTGTTTGCCATGTCAGTGTAGTATACCAATGTCCCGTTTAGTTCTATTTTTGTAACGTAACTTCGTTTCAACGACGTAATGCCCCCATTTAATGAAACTATCTCTCATTTCCCATGATGGCACTGTTGCTACAACAAGTACAAGGTTACTTCAGAACTTAACTTTCCTGATTACACCATTAAGCGTTAGATGTGTTGAAATACCTTGGTCTATATGTAATATCCTGATACCTACAACCTTTTATCTCTAGGTCTTTCCTATCACACTATCTGCATGTTTATACGAGTGTGTTGGTTCAACAACTTTATCTAGGAAGCTGGTTTTGTGAAGTCATTTTGACGGACAAGGAATCCAGCGATCAGCTAACATTATATAACATTGATCATTGAAAAAATGAAAACAGTGTCAATTAACTAAACTACAGGCATTATAGGCTGGTAATTCTCTTTGGCAGGACTTTTCATCTCAGACCGATAGAGACAAATATTTTACTTTGCCTTAAAATTAGACTTATTATTAAAATCAAAATATTTTTCTCTCTTCCTGCATTACCTGTTGCTTTTAAAATTGTTAAAATTTCACAATTACATACATATTTCAATAGTTCATAAGCAAAAAACTGGAACATGTTTATAATATGATATGTTTCGAGAAACGCTACGCCAGTTAAATATACAAATATATGTATGCCTCGATTCGTTAAAATTAAAAAAAAAAAAAAAAAATAGACGATGGTCAAAACATTGCTTCCTGAAGTAAGTAAAAGGCCATTGTTTCCAGCTGATCGCGAGAGTAACTTTATATAGACATTGTGACTCCAGAATGGTTCAGTCTTTACTCAGTATGTCAACCTGAACATTTCGTCTTTAAGTGTTTCAATGGTTTTCATTTGTATTGCCGATAACACTGCACGCCAAATTATCAGGGTTGAAAACCTTCAGATTTAAACAATGGTTTGCAGTTGCTTTGTGGTGTTTGTCAGGACGATATCTCACTAATATGTGTTATTTTGTCTATATCGTGTAATAACTAAAATACAAATCATATGATTTAGTGTATTTTATTTATTCTTTGATAGTGTACATACAGTTAACCTTTTTCTGTGCCATGTACATGAAGATTTTTTTATCATTACCAATCATTTTCTATTATTGAAACCATTATATTCCAATAGCCCAACACCTTGCATTTTGTCAATGTTCTTATCGCCCAGCCGCGGGGAAGTTCTGGAAGATATTGAAAGAATCACTTTGTGAACGATCCATCTGTCCAATCATATACCCAGAGAAGGTGGCATACACCTGATCGACCCTTCCGAATAGGGAAAACGACTGATTGGGTCTTGCTTGCACGTGCACGTTTTCTCCGCCACTGAGATAGGTAATGACAGAGTTTCCTGCAGAGGAATGGCTATTATAACCGGAAATGGACACCAGGAGGTCGTCATTTTTCTTAAGTTCGATCCACATTGCCTTATCCGAGTTTGCGTCATAACCGTGGATGGTAAAAGCATAGATACCATTCTTTGGAGCTGTGAATACTCCGGTTGACACGTCATAACCTCCGCCGACGTTTGAAAATACTTTGTCAAACTGAATTGTCTCCCCTGAAGACAAGGACACGGTATTGGTCAGGCCCGCAGAGAATGCAACGATTTCGTCACCTGTAAAAACAGTTTTATATACGAGTTTCATCAGTGATTTTAGTTTAAAATCGAAGGGCATCTAAATTTCTTTTATTAGCAAATCTATCTTTGTTGTGCAAAATGAGACAGTGATGATCAACCATTCAACTGTTTTTTCTTGAATGCATTATTTTTACATTATTTTCAGCACAACACTCCTGAATCCACTTGTCCAAATTATTGAACTGTGATATTTACGATATAAAGTAAATTTCGTTCCAGTTAAACATCAGATGCGTCTCCACGAGGCCGTCATTTTGAATCTATCATATGTTAAATTTTGTATAATAATATCTATAGATTTATTCAGGATTACAAAAAATAAAAATTAAAAAAAAAAATAAATAAATAAAATTGTTGTGTAGATTTTTTAAAGATAAAACGAGGTCACACACGGCTTATCAAATTTTGAAGTTTTTTTCTGTCTTTCAATTTTGCATCTTGAAAGTTATCATAACCTTAGATATACATGTATATTTCCCAAAGCAACTGGCACGTTAAACGTAGATAATCACGAACTTTCAGTCGTAATTAACAGTTTAGTTACCGTTATGAATTATCCTCAGATAGAAAAGATTGTGTTTGATTCACAATCATGGTGCAGTTAAACTTGTGTGACATCTTTCCGACATTTAAGACTGTTGTGATATAAACATACATTATAAGCCAAAATAAGCTGTGTTTCAAGAATGCGTCACCTTTATTACTAGCAGGAAAATTTGCATGCTAAATAGCATTGGCTGAACAAGTGTAAAATGTCAGCTTTGTGATTAATTCTGTATACATATTGAAATACGCTAATTGATTTGTACAATCTTTGCACTCGAGGTGTTTCATAACTAAATCAACACCCTGGAAATTCTTTTTTAAATCTGCGAAATTTTACTTCAAAACCTTTTTATGTCACTAATCCGGATGAATATTTATAAATAAAAGATTTTTTTTATCTGATTTTTAATGTAGCCGTTTTACAAATAACATGTTATAAAACATCGTTTATTTTTGGCAAATATTGGATCCGCTTTTCCAAACCAAGGCCCACCGTTGATATTTCCTATATGTAGCTATAAGCAGTTACAGCACGAGAATGACAGACCAAAACAAAGTCAGAACGAAATGTCCCTTTTTATTTGTGTTGTAGCAAATTAATTTTCTCAGTATCATTATCGAGACTTTTAATTATCTAAGTACAAGTGTACTTGCAATATTCAATAATAATGAAATAATAAAAAAGTTAATATCTCTTCCTACCAACTTACGTTAAAATTTTTAACTTGCCGTCGAAAAAACCGATACAAACAAATTATATAAGAGTAACTGGTATTTAATTGTTTCTCTAGGAAGTGTTCAAATCCTTTATTATATTTCATTTCAAAATACTTAATTTTATCATAATGATTTAATAGAAATTGGGTAACAAGCTGTGTATACAATTTCTCTGTAAAATATCCCATTAGTTATCCTGTTGATAAAAACACGACCATTGATAACCGACAGGGTGCAATATATTAGACTAGAACGCATACAACTTGGGGCCAACGCAGAGATGTAATTGGTTAGAATTGATATCATTTATTTTATATTTTGATATATTCTTGAAACAGATGTGGAAATTACAAAGATATTTGACCCGCAATGATTTATTTTATAAACAGCCGCCTCATATTACAGGAATATGTTACAAATTACAGGAATCTATTACAAAAGATATCATAAAAGTTTCACTTTTTAATTTAAACTTCGTTGTGTCAATATATCTTTTGTAAGAATTTCGAACGTATTTACGTACCAGTTGATAAATATGCACGTTCACCAGAACCTTCAAATTAATTTTAAAACTTTGTACTTTAACGTTTTACATAATATCTCTTATCAGTTCCATACCTATTGTACATATACAAAAGACACTCTGATATATTACGAATCTGTCAGGCTTGCTTTATGTAACTTGTATACATAGAAAGTGGATTCCGGTTATGAAAGGAATGTGTTTTAACACTAATCCTGTCAGATAATAGTCCATGCAATTCAAAACAATGATTACACAAGCATATTAACTCGTAAAAGTACAGACTTAGGCACTTAATCTTAACATGTGGGACGTTTTCATTTTTTCTTATTATTTTTGTTTTCCTTCAAGTATTTCCGTTGCCTTCATTTATCCGTAAATTTATATATGAATAAATTAGTACATTTTCTAAATATCTGACATAACGTTTAGTATAAGTTAATTTTGTAAGCTTTAGTGACGGAAACGTATGTGCCGACAAAAGTGAATAAATTCATGCAAAATGTGGAATTCGATTATTTAAGAAAGGGAGAAAAAATAAGTTAGCAACATTCATTTAGCAAAGAAAATGAAGAAATTTTAAACTTATATCGGAATTTCGTGGATCAGAAGACGCTTACTCTTCCGGGACACTTGCATTTTATCAGGAGACTCCATTTATATATTTCTTTTGTTGAAATATACCCTAGTTTTACTGAATCTGAGCTGGGATTATGGTTACCTCCATATTTTGTTTGTTAGTTTTTGTTTTGTTTGTTTGGTTTTTTTTTTTTTTTTTTTTGATTTTGAAGATTTGTGACTGTTCTATAGATAAAAAAAACAACACAGTCGTAGTGCTGATTAAGGTCACTTTATACAAAGGCCACCTGTGAATAAAAGCCGCTTTTGGGTTCCCTGTGTAATGTAAATCATAGTAATTGAACCTTTGTATAAAGGCCACATGTGCTTTCCTGAGTGGTCTTTATACACAGGTTGGACTGCATGTAAAAAGTGCTGATATCCTCCAACGATTTTCGTCTTGAGATAAAATCTACGTTTAACAAACAATTTAAAGTGGCATCATATATTTCAGGTCAAACAACATGAAACATGTTATACTGAATTACCTTACCTGTTGGTGCGCCATTTACTAGGCATGCAGCGAAGACCACACTCAGTGAAGCTATGAGAGGATTCATCTTGACTTGTGTTCTGTAAATATTGAAACTCAGTTTAGTTTTTTCATATAATGACACACATTACTTTAAAAACAATGAAATCGTGATATGCACTGAAGCACAAATACAGATTTTTTTTCCATTTAAAAGTGTACTTTTTCAGGTTTTTAGGTTTTTTGACATTGCATAGTTCTTACTTGCCAGTCTGATTATTATAATTCTTATTATGCGTAATAAGTTACTTATACAAATATGTATGGACCATGATATGTATTATATATTGAATACGTATGTATAGTAAAAAAAATTCCACAAAACCTTTCAACCATCAATAACATTTTCACCTAGCCCAAAATTCTATCAAATTAATAAAAAAATAAAAATAAAATTAAAAACACAAAGAATAAATAAATAAAATGAATAATCAGTCCTTAGCCATCATGCAAGTGTGATTCGTATAATGTCAACACTGTGCTACACGACGTATTTCTGTGTATCGTTTTGTATATAACATGGTAAGGAATTATTAAACATTAACAAAAAAGTGTTTTGTCTTTTACAGGCTCATTTGATTTCTAGGACTTATAAGATAACTTTTTTGACAGGGAAGAACTTATTTCACTTAAAAATGATTTTCAAAAATAGCAATATTTCAAAAAGTCAAGTCAAAAGAGATTGTGCATTTTGTTTATAGCATAAATGAAAAATATCATTGACATGCGTAAAAGAGCAGTTTTCGTAAATTTGTAACCTCAGATTGGATAATCAGCTGTTCATACTTTAGGAAGAATGTAACAATAAAAAAAAAAAAGAAATAGCGACAAAAGTTTATGATGCATCAGACAATTCCAAACGTGTTAACTAAGTCATCATTAACAATAGAACTTACCTGGCTGTACCTGTGTAGTGAAGTTGCTTCGAGCTGCTGCTGGTAAGACTGTGTTGACGACTCCGAGGCGCGGCAGTCACTTAAATACATACACATGGATACTTTTTTTTTGTAAAGAGTGGGTGGGCCATATTCAAATTCCATATATTCTTTGACTACGGCATGTTGTTACGTGATTGGAGAATGCAGAGGTTAGAACGGTTAGTTGTTTGCCTTGTCAGCTTAATACAATGCTTTTACATATATATTTGGCGGGAAAACTGACCATAAATTAATGTCGAAAAACTGCGACACGGGTTGATAAAGGAACAGTTACATGCAGATGGGATTGTTTTGTTTGCAGAACGTTGTAACAGTAAATTATACATAACTTATTGTCATTTGCAAGCTTCAAAATATGTTAAACGTGTAGACTGTAAATATAGTGCTAAAGGACATCAGCACCTAGACAACGGCTGCCTGTAGGAAACGTTTTAGGTAAGGTGTAAGATATCAAACTGGTTGAAAGTTCTTCGAGAGGTGTCTCGTGCCTTACTGACAAATCCATTTGATCTTTAAACAAATTTCATAACTGATACGTGATAGATCTAACAATTTCACAAGAATGTTGGCGAATTTTAGACTGAACTGCCGGAAACCATTGACCACCTAACACCGCCTGATAACCACAAGGGTATTTAGTTATGTTATGACAGATGCTGTTTTATTTAAACATATCTATTGCCAAAATATTAAGCTTGAGATTAGGCATACGACATGGAAATTTATCAACGCCCCCTCAAGACGTCCCGCTGTTCAAACGTTATCTTGTAAAAATAGGTTAGATTAATCCAGATCGATAAACAAAATCTCATAGTATTAGATAGTACATAGTACACTGTATTAGGAAATTCACAGTAAATATATCTCCCAAGAGTTTTGTGTATAATTATGTATTCCAAATGCTACTATTTAGATAAAAATGTTTTCCGTCGATTTACAATATCTTCCTCCGAACCATCTCATTGCGGAATTTATTAATTGAAACATTGAAAATAAATTGACTTGAAAAAGCTCTCAAAACGAAATGTGAACCCTCTGTTGCGACTAATAATTCAACCTTTCAAATTTGGGGTAAGTGTACCACGCCATCTGAGTGTTAACAATGATATTGAACAGTTTGAATTTTCGCAATCTTCTGGCATTCAACATTATTGAGTCTTAGTGTCAATGACAATCCCCAATAGATGAAACAGGTGTGTGTTGAAGTATAATACATGTGTTTGTTCTATTGTATTTTATCTTAAAACTGTATTGGAAATTGTCATTCATTGGCATGTCTTTTATACAACCGTACAGGACAAAGTAATCAACTTTGAGTTACCTAGCATCCTTACATTGATATCCACTGAAAACTGTAATCGCAGCAGTATTTGCCTATTGTTTAAACAACTAAAAATAACAACATTTGAAGAAAAAATGTTATCCAAACTTTAATTCAAGACAATTATGGCAAAATATCAATCGTACAAGGAATCTGTGCAAAACTTTTTCTTTTGTCGATTTTTGTCCTAGTTCCATCGACGTGGAGTTTGAAAATGGTTGATGACTTCTAGAAATAAGATTCAAATAAACAAGTTACATTTTACTGTTCTTCGTCGTAAAAGGAACAGACTGCGTCAACAGAGACGGGTCGTTGGGCTGAAACTCACTAAACTCATGCAATTGTTAAATTTAGAGTTATAACAATGAGCAGGGGAAGTTTGATGCTTTTAAGCAGAAAAAGAAGGAGTTGAAATGATGCGAACCTCGTCAACTCGAAATTCCGTGCCGTAAACATCGATTTTTGCTATGTAAACTTTACATTTACTTCAGTTAAGATAAAAGGAACAACATAAACGAATATAGTCTTTATCATGTTCACTATTGCACAAAACATAGCTAAATGAAAAGTTTTTTTGTATGATGACGGTAAAAATCTATTTTAAAAAGTAGCACAAAAAAAAAAAAAAAAAACCACGAAAAAACAAGAAAATACCAACATGTCAGTATAATCATAATCCAAACACAAATTCACTAGGGTGAAATATGAACAAAGAAAAGTTTTATACGGCGACTATTGAAAAATCACAAGGACAATAAGTCCAGGGCCATAAGTCAGAGAGGGCAAGCATTTATGTGATGAAAGGTAAAAAAGGCGACTCCATTAAGATAGTTTGATCTTGGTTACTGACTATGGATCAAAATTTCACACGGGAGAAAAGAGACACAGTGTAACATTTCAACATATGGTGTCGGACTCTCCAAATCCTTCTCTGCAACATTGAATGGTAACCTTGAGCCACCAGTTTGTTCGATGTTGATTGTGACGATGATACAAATAGATGAAGAAAATACTTCATAGTATCATCCTTTGTAAAAGTTTTGCAGTATTGATAAAATACAAAATTAAACAAACACACATGTTGTATTTTAAAATTGTTTTCATTTCAATGCTTTTTCTGGCATTACCGTTTTCATATCTTTGTTACAATACCCACCTTCCAGTAGATGTATCCAGTGAGTCATGGTGACGATAACGCGATTATTCATTAAAACTTGCCCACTAAATGTTTGTCAACTCTCATAAGTTTTAGTATTTTTGACAAAAAAATAAAACCTAATTTAGCGAATTTTTAACTCATTATGGATCAAGTGTTAATACGCGTCAGTCAATATTGTTTTAAGCACCACAATACCACTGAGACTATCTAACATATAAAACAATCATTGAAATACTAATGTCCTTTATCAATCATATGTTACACAGACATGAAATGTAATTTTTACGCTTTTTGTTATACTTGCCATGACCTCCGGTCACGCCTGCCATCAACAACTGAAAGTTGAAACCTTACGTGAAACAAATCAAATAGATGACGGAGCGAGAATAAACATATGCATTTTAATTAGATTTTTTTGAAAAAACAAAACGTCCGGCGCAGATAATCCTCTAACACTGTCAATATTGTGGCGTCCTCGAAATGTATTACTTTCAAATTCATCTTTTGTTTGAATAAACCAATGAATTACAAAATGAGAAACAACATTAATCCGAATTTGTAATGCGGATTTCGCAATCCGTAGAGTGAGCAAATAAACGGGATGTTTGTATGTGAGTGACAAGTATATGTGTAGCCCAATATTCAGAAATAACAAATATGTCTATTAAATAAATACGTTTGACGCCAAACCACTTAATACATTAAAATAACGAAATCGACGTAAAAACTCTTTAGGTGCACTAAAATAACAGTTTCAAGTTTCTGTGTTTTAGATTTCAATTTGGTATTTTATTGAACGAAAATTAATTTCTTATTTATAAACTATGCGTATTTCCGGATCCTGTTTACTCGTTGTTTATTTTCATATCGTTTGACGTCCTATAGACGTATACAATCATTTAAGGACGGTCTGTCAAAGAATGCACGGTGAGAGCATGTGTGTTTGCTTCAACAGCTTTCACCTTGACCGGCCATGCTATGAGTGCGAGGTGAGTTCTTATGTTGAGTCCGTGTTTACAAGGAGCTGTTCATGTAAGCCTTTTTGTGAAGGTGCAGAACTGAAGCCCTTAGCAAGACACCATACCCAGTTACATTGTACCGACAAACTCGTCATTACCCTAACTGAAAGTGAGAGGGTGCAGATGAAAGCTTTCCCCACAGGGGGCAACGTTCAAGTGAAGGCCAAACGTGAGGCAGTGTCAGGGAAGACATTAGCATGTAAATGTTTGTTAAGAAAGTTCATATAATCGCCTCTTACGACGAAACAATTGGTGCAGCAGGTACAAACATGGTGTTTGAACATGTCGTGAATAACGAAATGTTCGTGTTCTTTGATAAACAATATAGATATATCAAAGGTTTTGTTTGTCTGTTTTGATAGGCATGTATATAAACCAAACCCTCAAAGCATCAAACACAAACATATTGGGCAAATCTGTCCGTACGTGATGACATTTAGATGTTTGTGTTATGTTCTTTTTCCGATAAGGTGTGGTTTTATAATCCAGATAATTTCATCTTGTTTTGCGACCCAGCGGAGAGATACTGTGATATTAAAATATGCTAATGACCCGGTATGGCAATGGCATAAACTGATGTTCAGAACATGTCGAGGTATAAATTTGCGTTCGTGTGATAAAATTCCTGTCTTCAGTTTATTTGTTCCACTTGAAGGTCCTATATTATATATATGACATGTACGAAAACGCATGGGGCCTCGTATCACTGACGGGTCCTAGAAGGACGAAACAACTGTATGATACAGTTTGACTCATTGTTTCGCTTCATTATCTTATTAAAATTTGTAGTAAAAAGGTGCTATTCACTTGTGTGTCTTTTATACGAACATGTATGATTGTAAATTGTTTTAAACGTGAGAACATTTTGATTTACAAATGTCTTATATGCGCAATGATAATGAGAAGGTTTCAGCTGAGTAGCTGATTACAATAATTCTATCTAATGTTATCCATTAAAAGTATACATAAAAATCCTTAAATAGATTATTTCAATTTCATCTGTTACAATTGCCTTAAAAGTAACAAAGTATCGTTGTTAATTTGCAATTGATGATCGCTTTAGATTGCCATTTTTTTTTTACTCCTTATGAACTAAATAAGGGTAGATTATAGGACAACGCAGGACAAGATCAGGTGTTCCAGGAGAGTAAGCGTCTTCTGCTACACCGACGACACCTGCCATATAAATCTTGGTCAAACTCAAATGAGAACAAGGTATACAATAAAACATCAAGAAAATACCAACACGTCAACAAAATCATAATCCAAACTCGAATTCAATAACATTTGGGCAAAATGCTTCATATTGTGAAAAGAAATAGGATATTTCTCAATGAGTTCACTATGACAAGTGTAAAACCTCCCCAACCTTTTCCTCAACCGGCACCTCTTCAAACAACAAGGTATTAGTTGATGACATATTAAAAGGAAAAAAAGAATTGAATATCGAATGAGTTACGCATCGTTCCTCATTATGAAATAGTATGACAATGTTTAGTTATACTAAGCGATGATTGTGTTCCATAAGTGTCACCTACATAACGATAGTACGAACACCAGCTGGTGCAGGTCATTGGTGATACCTATTGTTTTCAATGGTGCATGTGTAGGAATAATTGTAGATATAAAACTGCCGGTAGGACTGAGTCAGTCTGATCATTACTATCGACAGAGCACACAGACGTGTCTGTACATATAGCATTACCTGCATGAGTAAGGATTCAAACTGGGAAAAATGACTTGTTTCTTTGTCTGGCTGCACTGTTACAAGATAATGCAGTTTACCTTACACAGACAGATGGTTGTGAAGAGTTCTTGTTTCTGTCCTGTATCAAGATTCCATTTATATTGCTAATCTTTACTTCATGAATAACCACTATTTGATATTTTTATTATGTGTGATAAAAAAATGATGGTAATTACACATCATTGACATACTGAACTAATCTTTTATATGATTTGAGATGAAACTTTCTTTGAAAATGTCGAACATATCATGGGCACAGTTACAATTTTCCCAATAAAAAATGTAAATATTTTCTTTCCTTCTTTTGAAAGATATTGCAAGTACCTGACGAAAAAGCTTCCGTAACTTTAATGTTTATCACAGGTATGGAACTATTTTCCTGTCACTTGTTCACATTAAGGTGTTTCCACCTCGCATTGGAATACGCAATCATTATGAAGCAATGAAATAGTTTGTAAAGCACAGCATTTGACAAGGTGTAACGACGTTATCAGGTAAACGAAACGTTAATATAATGCAAGTTGTTCCCATTTCATGATCGTTAAGAGAGACGAAAATTTTCCCAATTTCTATAATAAACGTTTTTCTTGTTAATCTCTGCTTAACGTTTCACTTAAGTTAAATGATGGTAATGACTCTACGACCGTTTTGAAGTATATGTGACCTGAGCCGGGTTTACTCTCTTTAAGTGATACGACGTCATTAAATTTTGTTTAAAAAAATAAACAAACTCAACACCTAACAAATCGCGAGTTGCTTAGAGAAAACGACGTTGTTATTGTTGTCAAAAACACCAACATTTTATGAGTTGCTAGATAATCTAGTCATTCATGTACCCTTGATTAAGTTTCTGATGAAACATCAATGACGACGCATAAGTGCTGGTTGTTGCCCCTCCGTACAAGACAGAACGCGTTTTTGTCCATAAGGTAGTTCTTGATGGAACATTCACAGACCACAATTTGAGGAAGAGATATAAATGTCGACGCCATACTACCCTATTTCTCACGCATCTCCTTAAAGAAAAACTAAATAGGAAATCTCAGTTGAACAGCAGACGGTATATACCTACTGGTTTCACGCTAGTGGTATTTTCCTGCAAATTGTAGGAAACAAGACAGCTAATTGGGAGAATTAGTATTTTGATAAACCATTAATCATGCTTATTAGTTGGAATATAATATATAATTGCTAATAAAATCATGATCATTCACAGTTCTAGTGACCACCTTTGTTTATTTTAACTGCACTTTATTGATATGTTGAAAATAGTAAATAACTCAGGGTCGGGTTTCACGAATATTCTTAAGTACGTTCTCGTGCTCAAATTTGAGAATAACCAATCAGAAATGACGGTAGATCATATAACGTCATTTCTGATTGGCTGTTCTCAAATTTGAGCATGAGAACGTACTGAAGAATTTTCGTGAAACCCGACCCAGACTTGTAATGCATGTCCAGCTGTATTTTCATAAAAAAAATGTCCCGTTTTACAGAACATGTATATGGAAACTCACCAAACTAAAAATAAAAAGTAATTTACACAGTATTTTATAAACATGATGCAGCTACAACGTAAAATGTCAGAATCATTAACTTTGGAGTCACAGCTGTAATCCATCTTTTTTATTTGGTTAAAATTATTTTACTGTATGCTATGTAACTTATTTGCTATTTCACTAAAAGGATTGGCCACAGGAACGGTGTCCCGATGTGTTCTGAGTGCCCATACAGGGTATGCTAATAATAATAGTAATAGTAATATATGTTACACAGGAGGATCAAATATCAGAATATGCCGATAAACATTATCAGCAAAAAGTTAAAATATTCTTCTTCCCTGCAACTGTTATTGTTAAAAATCAATTTTTATTTGAAAAATTGATGTCAAATAGAAAACAGAAAATCTGCGATAAGCTTTTATATTTGGCATGTGTGTTCCTTGTGACAAGACCTTTCCGGTGGTACCGAAATTCATGACCATGTAACCTTGACTTTGACTTTTGAACTATTGAACTAAAACTTTTAAATCGTCGCCACAATGAAGAGATAAGTGTTTCACATAGTGTGCATGCAATTACAGTTTTAATGTCCCACTTCATAATATTGTTGCAACCTGGGACATAGTGTTTCATAAACATATCTTGAGTCTATATAAATTAAAGGAGGGAAGGGTTGTGAGAGCCTTTTCCTGACCCCGATGATGGACAAAAACATTTGCCAAATTTTGTTTTTGAAATTTTTGTGAGGTTAAATCATAAAATGAGTGGGTCATAGTAAATTCAACAACAGTACATACAAATATATTATATTCTAGGGATCATCACCAATGACATAGTAGAGATGCTGCTTCAATAGGCAGGTTACACAGGGCCAATAGTCTGTACTGTCGACACCACCAGTTGAATCTCCATATTGCTGGATATCTTTCCTGTTCTTGTACAGGTGATGCAAAGGATGATGTAGCTAGTGATGTTGCTGGCGTTGCTGTACCCTCTGATTATCCTCAAACAAGTGGTCAGGAGGTTGTCCCCTAACTCGTCCTATGGCAGCATCCAAAGCTCTCTCTTTTGTAGTTAAACTATATATGTATAAAGAGAGCTAACTCTGCAGAAAATACGTGTAATTGTATTTTGAAATAGACTATAACCTACTAAACATATTACAAGACATATGTAGTTTTATCCCTATCGCTGTGTATTAATATGGCACCAAATTTACTGATGTATTGATACTTGCAAATTTTTTTTTTGACATTGATATTATTTGCATGAATATAAGGGACACAAAATGACAGGTCTGCATCGTGCAGACTATATTGTCACTGAAAAAAGATTAAACCATTTTCATTCAAAAAGGTTGATAAACGTTCTGGTATGTTTACAGGTTTGTTTAAAGGTTATATATACTATATTCCGATGATTCAAAACGATACGAGTTTTTAAGGGATAATTCTTCTTCAGCATCAGACATAAATAATGCTATATTCAGAACAGGCGGTCAGTCCCACGTGTCTTACTTGTTGCCAAAGACGCTGCAATTGTGACAGCAGATGACAATTCAGTCAAATGTCAAAACGATCCTGGCGCATTATTGAGATTTTACCTGATTAACAGCATCAGTAAGATAAAATAATTCAAAAGCTACTATATTATGAGTAAATATTTATATGAAACGATGCCGTTATCAGTCTATGAAAATATTAATCGGTGCGTATGATATTATACACATGTTCTACCGTGAAGGTATACACTGATCACATCCTTTTACAGTTTCATGTTCAAAAGTTAAGTTAATATTTGTTATTTCTATTCAAGTGTCTTACAAATCATTGATAGCTGTTCAATGTAAGCTTGCGTACAGTAAGCAATACTATAGTGACTGAAATCACACTGTAAAAAAAGCATCTTATTGAATAACCATCATGATATTTTATAACATATTGTCCAATTATTTCCAAACATTTTGATATCAAATGAACTTACAATTAAGCTGTTTAACATCAGAATTCTGTCTACCGTGGACCTCAGTATATGATACAATGCCATGCATGGCATCATCAATTCTTTGCTCAGCGCAGCCAGTGGAGGCCCTCTTCATGCGATGTGAGGTAAATATGATCTTCCCATTGCCAGACATGTTAAGCCGGCGGTTTCTCACCTTTTCCTGTTAACTGAAGGCTAACTCCAGGATATTCACTTTCTCGCTTCTGGATATTTGTAAGGTCACTAGAGTTCCTGTTTCTCTTGATATCCACCGTTTCTGCAGCTCTGTTATTATTTAGATTGTGCTCACGTGAAATAGAATTTGGTTTCCTTTCCTTAGCAGCCATCGTTTAAGTGCAATGTAACAAAATAAATATCACTAGTGTTAACTGTTCAGGTTAAATGATGAAGTTTTTGTGTTAGTTAACGACTGCGTTAAACATCTTTAAACAACAAGATTGAGTACAGTAATTTACTAACGCATGGTTAGAAGTAAACAATTCGGAACAGTTAACTATGTCGTTAGCTTAAAAGGTTGGAACAACCAGACCTTGGCAATTTTTGGTAAGAAATGGACAAAAAGCACAAATTAAATCCCAGTCCTCTTTAATAATCTTAAAAACGTCTGAACGCAGCACGTAGTTATCTCCCTTACAACATTAATGGCAAAAAACATGTGACAAGAAATGTTCTTATCATCTGGACAGAATGTTACAATAATAAGTAAAACAATGATAAGTTTTCAGATCAATACGATGTATTCAAAACATCTTTTGAGGAAAAATGTCCAAAGCGTTTATTATGGATGTGCAGCAAACAAATTAAATCCACTGAACGTCGCAAACACTTCATCTGGCTGGCCGTAAACGAAGTTATCTCCCCTAGCTCGAATATACACAGCGTCACCTGGAATGGATTATTAACATGAATTTTAGAGTTAAGTTATCGCATATGTATGAATGTCTTTTATTTGACATGAAAACAATGTACGTGACACGGAAAAGAAGAAATGGTGACAAAATGTGTAAAATGCTTAAATATTTTCAAAATGAGAATATCCATGTAAACACCATTGTACCATAGTATTACTGCTTTCAGGCATCAGGTGATTTTTGAAAACAAAAAGGACAGTTCGAAGAGAAGAAATACCAACATGTGAATAGAATCATGATCAAATTTCATTTGATTAAATTTAAGAATTTGATTAAAATAGTGCAAAATAAAAAGAAAATACGAGGAGGAAAGTACAAGGAGAATAAGACCAGATGTTCCGGAAGAGCAAACGTTTTCTATTTCTTTGTAACACTCGATATGTACATCTTTGTCAATCTAAGTATTGTATCATTAATATGCGAACAAGGTATACAACAACGGAACCAACAGGTAAATTACCATCAGACACGTCATATTTCATATTACAAAAAGAAATATTTTATCAAAGATTATGTTTCAATGAGAACATCATGACAATCGTAAAACATTCACATAATATTCATATTAAATAACACTTATTGTTACCTCGAGCAATTGTAAGAACGACAGAGTTCGATGATGAAGCGTAGTCGTTTTTTGCATGTGCATAGCCCGTGGCTATATAGTCACTGTTATGGTAGATATCTAACCAGAGTTGTTGGTTTGCCTGGGAAAGGGCGTGATACATAAACACATAGGTTCCACCTGTAGATTATAAAAACTTACTTACTTGATCTACATGAACATACTATTTACAACTCATCAATACATGATCTCTCTTTCAAAAAAAAACTCTCATAAATGCCTGTAGTTGATGAGACATAAAAACAACAAACCAAGTCGCTAGCGATAAGTTTAAAGATTTTTTTCTGCAATAAATTAATTTATCTGTCTTTTTTTCATTGACTTTATGGTTATATCTTTCCATACAAAACTGCCACTACTACAGCTACACGTTATTTTTACGTTTGTCAGCATTCTCGTGTTTGTATCTTACCAAGAGGTGCTGTAAAGACTCCCGTTGAATTGTTATAACCATTCCCGGAGTTTACAAACACTCGGTCATATGTCATGTTCGTTGTAACATGCAACTCTGTCCCATTTGTTAGTCCAGCAGAAAATGCGATGACTGTATCTCCTCCGCCGCCAGCCCTCCTTAAGGCTGACGGGAAGTAGTTAGGAATGTCTGGAATTATCAAAAGGGGATCCAAATAGGTATACTTGAGGTACACCGAAGTGACACTTGATATAAACGTTCAAGCATTATAAATGGTGTTTACACTTGATGCCAACAGTAAAATGTCTAGAAATCTCTCATAAAAAAAAAGATAAAAAAAGAGTCTGCAATGTAATTTTGTGTGTTGTTGAGATAGCAACAGCAACTATGATCGGCATGCCCCACGCCTACTCGGTCGGATGAAGTCTAGGCTTGTCCAAAACTGATCTCAACCAAAAAAACCATTACCGAAACCCCACCGAAAAGATCATGCTCAGTACACAGAAATCAGCATATCTCTCACTCACTCAAATGTACCTATTTCATGGGACTCCCATTTAACATTGCAAGAATTAAACGTTATGAAAACAATTAATTTACTTGTAAATGAATCTACATAAAGCATGTAATTTCTCTAGCAATGAAGGGAATTTGAATGATAAAACATTTGCTTAATGTGTTATAATTGACAAAACCAATATGATTGACAAGAATATTTAAAAACATAATAAATGTAACATTTTTGTGGTTTCCTATGGAAATTGGACATAAACTCACTTAGAGGTAAGGAACATTCCACACAGACAATGCTGACGATTACAACCAACACTGTCTTCTCAATCATGGCACGTGGTTGCTGTCGAAAACAATAAATACCCCCTATGATAAAATGAAGGCCTTGTAAAATAACTAAAAACATCAAGCATCTAAGTTCGATATACGTGTCAACTTATTCCAAATTGGAAACAAGATATATTCCTGAAAATTACATTTTTGCAGCAAGATACTTATATGTTAACAACAGAACGAGAAGTAGATATCTATTATCTGACGCTTATATACAGATCGACGCAATCATTAACAGAAATCCCCAATATTCGTGCTCTAACAATGATTGTTTTGTAATGTGTTGAAGAAGTAATTTAAAAAGAAAAAAAAATCCAAAAATAACTTCAAGAAATTTCAAAGATCATGAAGGTCTTATCGAGAAAGCATTCTTCGAATATTCTTCATATAGGGAATTAGAGAGTAGCCTTAATCTATGTCGCTTTATTGCAAATGAACTCGACAAAATTTAATGATATTATTTTGCGTAAAATGTTTCAATATACTGTATAAGCTTGATTCAAAATAAGTGGAATGCTTACCTTAAGCAAAAAGTTCCTTATGTGCCGACAGAAATCTATAAGTCATAGGTCATGAGAATTGTACAGGTGACCGATATCAGAGGTGAAAGTTGTGAAGATAGACTAAATTGGCACACGAGGAACATATAGGACTGGACGTTAAGGTATAAATCTATATCCTGCGATATATTATGATTATATTAATTGGACCATAAATGTATTGTAAATGATCATGATAACAACAAAATAACTTGTATTTTTTGGGGGGTGTTCGTAAAGTTTATCTATATTTCTGGTTGATATAATTTATATTTGCTCAAAAGTTTAATCCGTAGCACCATGCAATGCCTAATGCGTCTTTGCATATTGAAGAAAAACGCGCAATCTTTACACTTAAAATCACTCATGTTACAAACACAAAAAATCAACGTAATACCGAAACCGATTTCGTTTCGAGAGATGCGGATTGATGAAAGTTGTTAGGTCGTCATAGTGACTTCTTTAAGAAATATATTGCTTCCTTAAAGATATGCAATTTGAAGTGTTTGATGCTTGTTAATATACCTGTTGGTTCCAATGTTGTTAACCCTGTTCTCATTTACATGGCGGATGTTGCAGAAAACGCTTATTCTTCCGAAACACATTGTCGTATTTTCTTTCATAAATCCCCGTGTAAAGTTTTCTTTTCTTTATAGTTTCCCCTATTATTACTGAAATTGAAGCTGAAATATGATTCTGTTCTTTTGGTATTTCTCTATTGATGTTTCTACCTGACGAAATTGTATCATTACAGATGCTGTCAAACGTGATCATTTTCGGCTTCCTGGCTATTGCTGCAACAAATGGTGGTAAGTCTTTAATAAGCTGACTTTATTTTCATATTGTTGTCCCTTGGGGTGTTCTTATTGTTTTCATTATCCACTAATGTCACTGTAATTGCTGTTCCTGTACTGTCTATCGCCTTCGGTTCCAGTGCTTTGTCATCTATTTAGATTTCCCGTCTGTGCATTTGAATATGTTTTTCTTATCTACTTTTTTGTATTATCTCCTGATGCCTTTAACATCTTTCATACTTTGTTGGTTTAGATAACAGAGCAACATCAGATCCGGGGGAGGTGGCTTTTTCCGCAGGCCTGACATCTATGTTAACACTGAGTCATACCGAACGAGTAAAATACAACCGAATTTACACTAACATCGGAAACGGCTACCATAGTGACACGGGAACATTCGAATGCCCTGTTGCTGGGATTTACGTGTTCCAGTTCCATTCCGTGGCTCATCAGGTGAACTGCTTTGACTGCAAATCCATAACATTAAATATACCTCTTTCAACGACTTTAAGTCATAAATCATAAAAATCCTAATATGAACGCATTAAAGGCGAAAGAAAGGAATTAGTATCATTATAAACTAACGAATGAAATATTACTATGGAAACATCTCATTAAATCAATTACTCAAAAGTTATTGACGCATGACATTGTCCTAATACAATAAAGGCGAACTTCGTTATTTCTAAGTCGGGGATCGTAGGGATTCTTAGAGTTATCCGTGAATTCGGTTTAAATGAGCTAGAATGTTTGATGAATAGTTTTGCTTGAACGAACCAAATACTTCGAATCAAACAGGATATTCTAGCTTTACAAGTCTGAGATAACGAGGTTCGACTTTAATTGTTTTTATTGTTACCCTATGAGTGAATTTCAAGTACACCAAAATGTTTACAACATTGAATAGCTATGAATGAATATCTATAATTACAATATAAATCAACGTTATTTTCACTTTGAGATCCGCCTTTAAGGCCCGAGTGACAGGGTTCGCAGAATTTTTTATATCTCAAAATTGCGATCATTGTTAACTCTAGCCAACATTAAATTATTTCTCATTAAAACTAATCAAAATATAAAAAAGGACTATTTCCCTATATAAATTATAGTAAACTTTAATCCCTCCTTAGAATGAAAACGAGGGACCTGAATAACGCAATTCTTACAATTTTGATCAAGCACCTTAGGATATTCTGGTCGGTCTATGGAGAGGTTTGATTCTCCAGATGAAGGCAATTCTTTAATTTTAATTAGAAATGCATGTATAAGCGAATCTGTCCCTTTTGTTATCTCCATTTAGGACACAGAAGTATGATCGACGTCTTTTTATACTACTAATCTTATACACCTGAGGACAGTAATCTTAACCAAGATCAAATCATGTCCCGTTGAATAAAAAAAGAAAACATACTAACATGTGTTGTTTCCCTATATAAACTAGAGTATCATTTGCCCCGTCCCTACTTGGGAATCAGGAGGGTGTGTCTTGCAAAGTCACGTGTGCAAAATTTTTTTTTTGTTTTTTTTTTGGAGAAAACAAACATGACAAAAAACAGATGAGTAAAATATGGGGTATTTCATAGCTTAAGTACACGTTTTAAATTAGGGCAAACTCGTTATGATAGGTCACTTTTGAAGTATTGAATTCCATGGAAGTACGGCTTAACAACAGAGAAAACATTTTAAAAAAGACGACATATGTTTAGTGTTTAGTCTTATGTTACAACTTACAATTGTGACAAGGCGATATCATAGATGAATACAAAGCGTGGAAACAATGTGTGCATAACTATAACATCAACTTATTATCAAATAAAACTGGTGTTTTCATCGCATTCTTAGAAGACACCGGCACGGATCTCTGTACTTGTATGAATGATTTGACTATGTTTTCTTCTTTTCGTGAAGTGTATAAGAAATGTCATTTTCACTCAAGAAAAACTTGTTGCATTCGGTATCCAAAGTACAATTTAATGCATTATACTGTCTTGCTAAGACATTTCCAACAACGTCAAAGACTTGCAAGTCAACATCATACAAAGCGCCACCAATCCAAGATATTTTAATTTCTCTAAACAAGTTTTGTCTCCTTTAAGTTCCGCCTCTATAAACAAAAGTCACCAGCGTAACCTTCAAATGAAACAGTGAGTTTTATGATGTACTGTAGTTGTGTGCAATGACCAAAATAATGACCTTAATTTTAGAATGTTATTAGTGTCATTTGCACGTCCTTCATGTACAAGTTTACCATTTCGACCTTAAGCTTTGTACTCTATACAGACTGATACTGTAGTTGAAGGTTAGTAATAACACATCACTTACTTATCTAATAATTTGAAATTAAATGACAATTTTATTGGTTTAGAACAAGGCGGCATGGTTACAGCTTTATAAGAACTTCCAGTACGTGGCTTCCACATATGGACATACTGTCAATGATTATGCCTCCACAGGGAACTCTGTCATTCTACATCTGTCAAAAGGTAGGTGTTGTATAAATCACGACATATTTCTATATTAATTCTAAATCAATAAATACTCTACAGGGTATAGAGAAATCGATGTGTTTCGGTAATAAAGTCGTCTTCTGCATCAACTGCATTTATTGTATATTTTATAAGATGTGAATAATAGAATACAAAAAAGCACAGTTGGCAGCTGCATCTACCCCTGTAGACTTTGATTTTTCTTTTGATCACTTTGGATTTTCCTGCGTGGCCTCCTATGCAGTACATACAGATAAATAAGAAACAAACTCAATTATTTTACTTTCATTTTATAAACAATCGTTCAAGACGTTTATAATCTTGTGTGTATAAACAGTTATTATCGTGAGAGTATTAATATTATCTAACACTTTCTGTTTCAATATATAAGCAATCCCCGATACTCCAGTGATTACAATCATTGTCGATCTTTGCACCTCTGGGACAGGTCATGGCAAAATCGAAGGTTCCATGTGCGACACCTTGTGGACAGGAATAAATGACTAGCTTGATCCTTTTATGTACATCGAACGAATCTCGAAGACGCAAAATCAGATATTGTAAGAGCGTATAACCCTGTGTTTGGTGCAGAGAGAGAAATAGTTGTGTACTCTGAAGTATCGAGGATGTGCATTAGAGGGTTGGAAATAGCTCAGGTGACCTGCATTGTACATGTGTAAACCGATTGTTGTAAACAACAACATCAATGCTTATTGACAAGACCTATACTATACTATAGACTTGTATTAGACATGGTAAGTATACTGATTAGGTATATGTTTCATGAACAATTTTGACACAAAGTCATAGAGAATGATATTTTTCATAACATAAGTTGTTTCCCTTCGACCTTATATCACATAAATCAAAAATATAAAATGTGATTTCTCCTTGACAACTGAAATTTCGAAAGACATATGAATCCAACCTGTTGTATTATCCATTTGATATCCTTAATATAATAATGAACCACTAATTCACCCATTTGCTAAATTTACATCCATGGAGATTTTACGCATCGTATTTTTGATATATTCTTATTTAAAAGTATACAGAAGAATACGTGACTACTTTCGGCTTCACGGATTCTTCAAAACTAGCTTGGGAACAAATATGTTCCAAATTATTTAAAAGAGTGTGGTTCAATGAAAATGTTGTCTTCGTTTTTCCACATTAACGTTGTAACCGCTTGTTAGTCATGTATTTTCTATCGCTTCGATAGGTACACTGCTATGCTTTAGTGTCAATAATGCCCCTAACAGCCATATTATTAATTACATGTTAACTGCTTTATATATAGCTCCGCAGTGGAAACAAACATCATGCAAGTTAATAAAATTATGGAAACATGACAATCTAATTTCATTGAAATGAAATATTTAATTAAAACATTGTAAAATTAGATGGTCAAATTTCACCAAAGGGAGGTAATTCATAGCTTCAGTGCTTGAAGGTAGTTTTACTTTCATCAATAGAAAGATGAATAACGTGATAAGTTATGATTATAATGTATGATTATGATTTGAAATATAATCTATATTACATATGCGATTAAAAGTACCTGACATAAATGTCTAGTCTCAATATTTTTCTGCTCAATACTATTTTCCCAACCAAACATTTCTACCTATGTCTTGTTTTGTTATATTTTTAGTGAAGAAGGATATACTGTTATAACGCATTTTGTCCCTGGTTTGTCCAGTAATGAAAATATCAGTTGTAACGATTATATAACCGCGATAATATTGGAACAAGAGGTTCTGATCATATTCGATGTTTACCCCGTTGATAAAAAATTACACAAGATCGCATTTGACGTAAAGACATTTTGCATTTAAAATGTGCTTTGTATCCGCAACAGATTACAATGTTGGTTGTCATCGGTCAAGCTCATTGGGACAAAATATCAAAAAAGAACAACTTCATTTAATTGATGCATTGGTGCTTGGGTACATGTATATACAATTCCAATCCTGTACACATTTGCGTTCAATTTGACAGACCAATGTACGCTCTTTGTCGTTTTGATATTATCATTGGAATACTCCTTATGGACGAGAGACGTTCTTTAATTAAGAAGATAAGTGCCTGCTGCATTTGAACACGACTTACCAAAATATAACGAAAATCTGTATGGAAAAAGTATATCTATTAACAGTTTTGTAGATAAACACATTTCCATTATTTGTATTACTGGAGAGACATTTTAGATATGGAGACATCTTTTTATTTGTCTCAAATGTTTATTATCCTACTAGGTGATGAAGTGTGTGTACAAGCATTTGACTCTATCTACGGTTTCTTATTATTTCTCAGAAATGTTTGTTATCACACCAGGTGATGAAGTGTATGCACGAGCAGTTGACCCAATCTACGGTTTTTGTTTATTATTTCTCACGAATGTTTATTATCACACCAGGTGATGAAATGTATGCACAAGCAGTTGACCCAATCTACGGTTTTTGTTTATTATTTCTCACGAATGTTTATTATCACACCAGGTGATGAAGTGTATGCACGAGCAGTTGACCCAATCTACGGTTTTTGTTTATTATTTCTCACGAATGTTTATTATCACACCAGGTGATGAAGTGTATGCACAAGCAGTTGACCCAATCTACGGTTTTTGTTTATTATTTCTCACGAATGTTTATTATCCTACCAGGTGATGAAGTATATGTACAAGCAGTTGACCCAATCTACGGTTTTTGTTTATTATTTCTCACGAATGTTTATTATCCTACCAGGTGATGAAGTATATGTACAAGCAGTTGACCCAATCTACGGTTTTTGTTTATTATTTCTCACGAATGTTTATTATCCTACCAGGTGATGAAGTATATGTACAAGCAGTTGACCCAATCTACGGTTTTTGTTTATTATTTCTCACGAATGTTTATTATCCTACCAGGTGATGAAGTCTATAACAAGCAGTTGACCCAATCTACGGGTTTTTTTTTATTATTTCTCACGAATGTTTATTATCCCACCAGGTGATGAAGTCTATATACAAGCAGTTGACCCTATCTACGGTTACGCAACATATCTATACGGCGCCAATGATGAAGTCTATTGTACTTTCTCTGGTTATATGATTTCCCCTGTTTACGAGGAAATACCCGGTAACGGAAAGTGATGACGTCGTTGTTTTGTGCGTATCTTTCCCAGATATAACCAATTTAAAAATAAAATCCAGTATATAATTCTTTTTCTCGTTTATAATTTTTGACGAAGGACTGAAGTCTTTTTAAGCAAAATTGTCTGTGAAAACAACAGGATAATTTACTACCAAAACCTTTTTCTACTCAATATCTATAGAATGAACATACCTATTTATATCGGAAGGTCAGTCAACGTCATATTTCCGACGACACCGGCAATTAAAACATCAACTCGTGTAGTTCGAAAACCCAGAGATCTTAAAAAGATAATCCAACAGCGAATGACATTAGAAAAACCATAAAAAGGACCCAGTGGCATTCTGCATGACAATATGCTACAAAGTGACCTCCAGCAATGATCTAGATCAGCTATTTTCTTGACTCTAGTGATATATATTGTTGTCCTATAACAAATAATTACAATGATCAGCAGTATGTATCATGACACTAATCATCAGGCGAATAGTCGGAAAACAAACAAAACACCGAAAGCAACAAAAGTCCCATGCTAATTCCAAAGCGAAAATCATATCGTTTATACAAAATGCATCAAAAGAATGTTTGACAATTATCACTATACATATGGAATCACGGGGTACCATATTACAAACGTAGTGATGTCAAGACTAAATCTGACCGGGACTCGCCCAGCTGCAGGCCTTAGAAAATATATAAAGTGACATAATCTATCAACAGACTATAGCGGGATATTGGTAATCATAACACTAGCATTGCATTATATGAGTTTACATGCCTGCTGCTGAAATGAATAGGTTACTAAAATAGCATGTGGCTGCCACTGTAGTTCCATTTGGTATAGGTTTTAAATTTAAAACATATACCAAATGGAACTACGTTGGATGCCACATGCTATATATAAATTGAGGAGTGGGGAGTGGTGGCTCGACATATCCCTGCTAACCATCTTTGACTATTCGTTACTGAAGCTGACTTTATAGGCCTATCAAAAAGTGGAATATACTGCCGAAGGTTGAGCTGCATGACACTCCAGCAGACCACAATATACTGTCGAAGGTTGCACTGCATGACACCCTACCAGACCACAATATACTGCCGAAGGTTGCCCTGCATGACACCCTACCAGACCACAATATACTGCCGAAGGTTGCCCTGCATGACACCCCACCAGACTACAATATACTGCCGAAGGTTGCCCTGCATGACACCCCACCAGACTACAATATACTGCCGAAGGTTGCCCTGCATGACACCCCACCAGACTACAATATACACCCCATATACTGCCGAAGGTTGCCCTGCATGACACCCCACCAGACTACAATATACTGCCGAAGGTTGCCCTGCATGACACCCCACCAGACTACAATATACTGCCGAAGGTTGCCCTGCATGACACCCCACCAGACTACAATATACTGCCGAAGGTTGCCCTGCATGACACCCCACCAGACTACACCCCACCAGACTACAATATACTGCCGAAGGTTGCCCTGCATGACACCCCACCAGACTACAATATACTGCCGAAGGTTGCCCTGCATGACACCCTACCAGACCACAATATACTGCCGAAGGTTGCCCTGCATGACACCCCACCAGACTACAATATACTGCCGAAGGTTGCCCTGCATGACACCCCACCAGACTACAATATACTGCCGAAGGTTGCCCTGCATGACACCCCACCAGACTACAATATACTGCCGAAGGTTGCCCTGCATGACACCCCACCAGACCACAATATACTGCCGAAGGTTGCCCTGCATGACACCCCACCAGACTACAATATACTGCCGAAGGTTGCCCTGCATGACACCCCACCAGACTACAATATACTGCCGAAGGTTGCCCTGCATGACACCCCACCAGACTACAATATACTGGGCTAATCAGTCGTTTCAATATCCAATACCAACACTGTGAACGTGAAGCAAGATATAGTTAAGTTCACTTATCATGGATAGTCTAAGAGACAAAACTAATCGCCTTCCTCACAAGTGCGAGCTCTCAGCTAATTAAAGCAGTTTCAAGAGACAGATATTAGAACGAATAAATCTCTGTAAAGAAAGAAACTATACAGACAGATAAAGGTAGGGCGGACTCTCCTCGTTGGATGACCAAAAGAGGCTAGTATTTTGACACAGCATATATCGATTTACAACATGGACGTACCTCAAATACGATTTTCCCAATAATTAGGTCAGAAGAATGTTTAAAAAAAAAAAAAAAAAAAAAGAGGACTAAACTTAAAGCAGAGAGAGTGTTTCATATCTTTTATTTACATGAAAAAGAAAAGAGGAACATTTAGTTACAACACTGATACTGGAAAGCTGCTCAAACAGGCAAGAAGATTCAAATCAATTTTAACGTAATAGACAGCTGCTACCTCTAGATATAGATTAACTTATAAAGATCTCCCCCAAACAATCTTAATACAAACTGTACCTTATCATAGAAATGTATATAGTATGTCTATTATATAAACAGGAATTTAATCCGACAAGTCAATAACTAAAATCTCTCGAAACATACAAAGTGGACATTATCATAGATTTTAAATCCGACGAGGAACTTAATCGAAACTTGTCTTTAAAATAAGATGTATACAGCATCAATTGCATTTTACACTTTTTGTTAAAATATGTAGAAAGTAAACTACTGCTGTTGTTTAATACAATATCTACCAAGTAATAACAAGAGATTGAGGTCCGCTGTGGACACAATAAGAAGAAAACATGACAACATAATCATAATCTAAACTCAAATTCAATCAAACTAAGCCTGAATATAAACAAACGAAAATAGAAGATTTTACAAATAAAGTACAAGAAGAATAAGATCGGGTGTTACGGAAGAGTAAGCGTCTTCTGCTTCATCGACGGCATTCGCCTTGTAAACCTTGGTCAATCAAAGTAGATAATGGCACATTCGCAAATGTGAAAAGGATATAGAACAACAGAACCAACAGGCAAACAATAATCAAATGTAACTTATAGACACGTTATGGTGTCTCAAGAAAGCACTATTAACAAATAGCAGACGTGCATTTCGGATCGTCACAAACAACGCTTGATAATCTGATTCAATTAAACAAAACTTATTCTATTAGACGCAAGTCGTTTTTAAAAACATTTGTAATCCACTGAAAAAGCTACAATTCAATTGGTCATTTTGATCAATAAAGCGTTCATACGTACAGATATAGTTAATACTATTGAATCTTAAACGTCATGCTGTCGCTCTTTTCAGCCGTTTTAAGTCAAGTACAACGTTGTTAACGTTCATCGTAATAAACATACATAAGCGTAGAACAGACATTTCCTCCTTAATCATTCAATGACAAAATTACATCCAGTGTGTCAAACGATTACAAAGGTATCTCCACTTTAAACAGGAGTGTTTTGTGTCACAATCTTTATAGATAAGAGAGCTAGTAATATGCCACTTCGTAAGTGATATTGCTGAAAAATAACCCAGGCTGTATTCTTGCCTGTACAGTAAATTTCCGCACTCTAGCGTCACCTGTGGATTCCATTGAAGCCAAGGTCATCCGTATACATATCTTAACAGACCAGAAGTCGGTAAGAATAAGGTAAGCCGGTAAGTGAGTGTGAAATAAAAACATTTCATCAATGAAGGGTTTCTATAGATTAAGACGACATCCTGCCCATCAACAATAACATGCAAGAGTAGGCCAAGTGCCTTAGTCTGTATACGTTGCGACTTTTACTTATTGTATAAATGATAACTTAAAGTAAGATTTCATGGTAGTGTAAAGTATATAGGTGAAGATAATTGATGTTACCTTTACGTCTCTCAACTCCGTTAGATCGAACAATCGAGCTTAGAAAAAAAAACCTCAACGTTTCGGAAGAGCATAACCTGTACATAAAATGAAAACCTGTTAACTCGACATATAATAATCACTTCTCTGTGTAGATAAGTCTTTTGTTCATATCTAGCTCCGTCTTTGTTGAATTGGCGTTGAGGTTGGATTATGATTATGTTAACATGTTGATATTTTTTCAGTGTTAAGTCCCAATTAGCAATATTACTGTTGGAGGACAAGTATATGCAAAGAAAATCAATAAAATTGGGCATATGATCCACACTTTTTCGATCAAGGTCGAACCCTGGTCGCCTATGTTATGGAACTAATACACATTCCAGCCCTAATAAATGAAATGCTATTATAATCTATATGGAATATAATTATCGCCACTATCTCGACCAACGGTGGCAATGTTAATCTATTCAGGCAAGTTTTAAAAAATGTTAGCGAGGAATTCAACTACAAACAAACAAGATATGTTAGAGATCGGACGAGGTCAAGGTCTTGAAAGATAATATGACATACCAATCCTTAAAAATCGAATTCATCGCTACAGTTATACAAAATCTTTATTTAACGACACTATGATGGGCTGTATAAAAGTTGCTGCCTAACACTGGATAACCATTTCACACCAAGACATAAATATTGACAAACAACACATAAATCATAGCTCTACAATCTAATATACAACGAGTAAGCAATCCAAAGTACCCAGTGGCAATAAAGAAATCTCCGTCGTATGGTTTGAAAATATCTCGAGGAGGTGTAAATGTAGCCTAAGTAACCAGTATATGATATCTTTATTGCACTCAAGTGTGAAATATCACGACAATATATGGATATTTAAGTAGACAAGAATCCTCAAATATATATACATATCGAAAGTCTTCGTGAACATTAAATATATGGTCTTCCGTTGAAGGAGTCCAGATTTGGTTACCTCCCTTTTGGAGGTATTGCGATACAATTTCTATATCCGTAAGATTTTTCTTTTGTTCACATATGACCCCCAGCTTCATCAATAATGAGTTTGAATTAAGACTCTATTAATATTACAAAACTCGATTATTGAAAGTTTAAAATAATGTAAAAAAATATGAAATATGGTGTGCATAAACGCAACTATTGGAAACTTCTGAAATTTATATATTGTAGATATGAATTTGATAAAGGTTCGTTATATTTCGTTATATATGTATGATATATATTTTTAATATTGTATTAATTAGATAAGTATTTGTTTAATAATACTAATTGTTATGTTCCATTGCAAATGTCCTCTGCTCGTCAAAGCCCTCATTTTGTCTAAAACATTACATCCTGCGCTAGAACATATGCGAGTTTGAAAGAGTCAGTATTGCATAGCTTTCAACGACTCGGAAGTTACTCAATAAATTTATCGGCTGCTTTTTCCTACCGGATTATTGATATGTAAGCTGATTATATTAACGGTACCGTAGTTTTAAACAAGGATCTTGGTTATGGCTGTTGGTTCGAAGCTTAGTCGAGACTGTTATATATGTTTTTTTTTTAACCGGATATGGTGACCTGTTTGCTTATTGACTTGAGCAGTACATTTCAGTATGATTACACTACACTACTACCACAGTAAGGCATCAGTTAGGCACTATCAAAAAGATACATTAGATCGGCACTTTCACAAGCAGGCTTACACGAACATACATACGATTAATTGCTTTGATTTTATACACACCCGTGGAAATTTTATCATATAATATAAGGAATATATATTTGATACAGTATCTTTTTCATCATTTACCCGCTATAGACCTGTATTATGATATGTAGAATGTCTTACATACAAGACGTCCGCAGTAAGGTTTATAAATTTTAACCTTATTAGTTTTGTAAGCCTCAGTTGATAGTGTTGTCTGACCCTACAGGACCATACATGTTGATGGGCCATAACGCTACAAGACAACAAAACAAAAAAAGTCATCCAAAATACAGGTACATACTACAGGCTCTCACCTCGCGTGCATTGAGACGATGTCCTCGAATGATCTCAGATGTTGATAGACATTAATCAATACAATATCAAACCAAACATGTCTAACTGTAATGGATGCATTGTCCTTCAGCTCAAGTGATCTTAATAGATCACCATTGTAGTGGTAGGTTATATTGAGATTTTCCTATTTGATAAACCATTGGAATCGACTAATACTTGATACTGAAGTGAAAATTAAATAAAAAAAGATTGTTAGATCAAAGATAATGTCTATTGGTATTACACGTGAATTATCGTGAAACAGGGCTTATGCTGTTTGTGTACAGTCTGTTCCTATAGCAGTTTGCTCTGTAAAATGTCTCTCTTTACACTGCCTCTCGTTCGGCCTTAGTTGCGCATTAATCCCTCTGAAGAAGTGTTTGGGTTCTCGTCCCTGGTATAGATATGCAAACGATTTGTAAAATGGTAGTTACAACACCCTTTACACAAGGCATTGTGGTAGTTACCACTAATCAGTACATCTCCGGCAGTATACCTTTGTTTGGTCAACGTGAAATCTGTATATCACAAGGGGACTAAAACGAGCGCGTATGGCAGCGTCCCGAAAGCACATGCACCCATCACATACACTTACCTAGCATGCATGGTGAAGTCCTCAATTTTAGGCATTATTTATAATATTTTCCCAAACTATGTTGTTATGTTTAAAGCAAGCATTCGTTATTTAAATACATGACCAATTTCAGAGAACAATTTTTGTTATTTCGTCATAGATAGTACGAGCCAGTTGTAAACCACCTCCCCCTGCCCACCCTCCTTTTTTGTTGATGGACAACATTAAGATCTTAAAGATATGGAAACAGATTCCAAGAAAATACGTTACTCATTTCCTGATTACGGAGAATCATGAGGTCTGGGCATCATGTTTGATAAGCAAAGGATAGTACGATAAACCTGGATTTTATTAATGCAGTTCATTTCATTAGAAATATTTTCTCTGTGATTTATTGTCTCTGAGCTTTATAACATTTATTTTTGGTCATTTTCTTAGGAAGCAATGGCCGTTTGTTTAGATTTCTCTA